GTAGTGTTTAATAGTATAACGATGAGTTTGTGAAAACACATTAAATAAAACACAGAACTGCACAGTTAGTTATGAATGAAATTTACCGAGTCAGGTTTTCGTTTTCCAAGAACAGTATTTGATGCTGCATCGCCACCTGACTGTGCATTTTCTTGATTCTAAGGAAATGAATATTAGTAAGATGAGATTACGATAGTCACACAAATTCATGAAAGTTCAATAAACCTTTAGAGCATCCGCATGACAAGTTGCGTGATAAATAACACCGTCGACTTCTATAGCATTTCTAAACAACCATTCTTCATCCGCATCATTCCAGAAAACTTGAAATTTTTCTTGACAAATAGTGCAAGGCTTACCAGCCCTTTCGGGATCAAACGGAACAATAACAGTAGATTCCTTGACTACCTCGTCCTTTTTTGGTTGCGAAGCACCAACTGTGCTTTTAGCAGCGTTCGCATTTTCAAAGTCAAAGAAAGCTGGCGATTGTGTGCTTTTTATTTCTGCTTCACGTGAGTGAATCCAGTCCTTGATAATATTAAATTATAGAATTGCTCCTTAAAAGATTTTCCAATGCTCAAAAAGATTATTATGAAATTTTGAAAACATGATATATTTACCGACCTCTTCACTAACAAACCAACTTCGACTCTGTGCTTTCTTGGCTTTCTCCTTCATTCTGCGATTTTGGCGAAAATGCCAATCAAGATGAGCATCCATTTTCGCCTTACCTCCTTCATCCCTGGCATATCGAAAACCGCATTGTTTGCACTGAAGAGGCAAGGCGTCATATAATATTGCGATGACACCATCACGCTTACTAGTGGTTGTTAAGATAATTAGCATTAGCATTAACCTCTTTGGAATTTGTAAAATGCACTAGATCAGACCTACCGTTGGATGTCATTACTTGTTAATTGAATTTTTTCTAAATCATTCACATGCATAATGGTTGTTGGAGCATCACTAGCTGCAGAACCTGACGGGGGAGGTGTAGGAGTACTTCCTCCAACAAATCCACCTACATTGGTGGATGTTACGGTGCCACCCACACCCCCAACTATGTTCCCACTACCACCGAGCAGACCAAAATCCATTAAATTTTTTACCAATGCATTGGGGTCAGGTACAAGAGCACTATGCGGTGGAACAGGTGGTGGTACTACGGACGCTGGTGGCATAGAAACCGGTGTAGGAACGGGAGGATTAAGAATGGGTACTAAATTTGATGTTGTGAGATGAAGTAGATGCAACATTAAGAGTAGATGACGTGTAATATTTATAACATACCGTTAAAAGGAAAATTAAGAGCAGGAGGTTGAGTGGGAGCTGCCGAGGGAACGGACAATTGCGTAGCAAAGAATTGGCGAACTTGTTGTATTTGATCATTTGTGAGAGGCGCTTTCTGAATAGCTTCAGAGAGCTAGATGACGAGATGAATGGAGATGAATGTTAGCAAATTAAAAAAGTCAGGGATAAGCAAACAATTTAAAAATTATTGCTAACCTGTTGTAAACTTCCAAGTTGATTTTGGTAATGTAAATCACTAGGATTTTGCAATGCATATTGTTGGTGTTGGACAATCAATTGCTGACATTCTTGTAAAAGTCTTTGTTGATCCGGCGGAGGAGCAAACACTTGATTTTGTTGCAATGGTTGAGTGGGCGCTTTGGTTGTATACTAGTAAAACGAATACGAATGAAAGTAAGTTAGTCATTGCGAATGGTATAGCAATGTACATGTCTAAATTTTATCGAATGGTAAAGGATAATTCATTATTGGACATGGTGGCTGCTTTCATATTTGCGAAAGGGGGAGAGGGAAATAGAATATAATTTTATTCATAACTAACTGTGCAGTTCTGTGTTTTATTTAATGTGTTTTCACAAACTCATCGTTATACTATTAAACACTAC